TGCACCTCCCTGAGTATCCACCATGGGCGTCCAGCTAAAAGACGGTAAAGAAGCGCTTGTGGGGAGGCAACCCCACCACGGTTTGACTTTCTTTCTTGTGTTTTGAATCGGATTGTAAACCGGTTTGGTTTTGGTTTGTTTTCCTTTGTTTTGGATGATGTATTATTGGGCTGACCATTGGACCTAACATATTGTGTTTGAGCTCTTCTGTTCCCCTTTAGCTGTGCTTTGTTCCAGACTGGTCCCTCTCCAGTCCGTTTCATGCCGACTGGTCCATTTCCAGTCTCCTGCAGTCTGTGCACACCGGTAACATCGTTCCCCTTTCCTTCCCTCTTCTCCATTGAGGGCAATGTCGATCTTAAGTGTGGGGGGGGGGGAATGTTTATCTTTTGACTGCATTAGATCTGTTTGTGTGCTAGGAGCCTAGTCCACTGTCCAAATTTTTAAATTTGAGGGCTCCAAGTACGTGTTCCTTGCAATTGCCTGCTCAGTATGCTTTGAATTGACAGTCTCTGTAGTGATTTGCAACCTAGGGAGGTAGTGTAGCACTATGGAGGATGTTGATGCATTTAAGAAGTCTCATTTCTTCTTCATATTGTGTTGGTTGATTGAGTGAATTAGTGATCTTAGGACCCTTGAATTGTGTGGTGTTGTGGACTCTCTGCCTGTCATGGACTCTTGTATCATGTTTTGAAAATAACAGGTGCTCGAAAATGTGCTTTAAAATAACGTCTCCCGTGCGAATAGGGCGAAAGTGTGTAAGGGGAGACGGGAATCCGTTCCCAATTTCCACCTACTACCTCCAGCCTCCTTACATGTCTTTCCCCCGCATGAGGCTCGAGACATACGCTCCTGGCATGGCCGGTAAGAGCCGGGCTTCCGCGAAACCTTTGCTAGGTGTGAGCCCTCGTTTTTTGAAAAAAAACAGGTTGGAACCCTAGAAAAAAAAAAACAGAAAAAACAGAAAAACAAGCAAAAAGAAGAAAGAAAAGGGGTTCCAACCATCTTCAAGAGGAAAATCGAGCACCTTGAAAAAAATGTGAGTCCATGATCCTTTGTTTTTGAGAGTCTCGTCATCCACGATTCATTTGTCCTCTGTTCACTATTTACCATGATGCCGACTCGAGACTAGTGCTCTCGCCGAAGAAGCTATGAGATGACTTGTGCGTCGGTTGACCTCGTAAGCTGCTAAATGATCTAGGAAGTCCTCTACCTACGATCGAGGTTGTTTGTTGCTATAGAGGTCTGGAGAGTTGCATTGGTTTGAGTTAGGTTTGCTTGGGGACAAGCAAATGGTTAAGTGTGGGGGAGTTTGATAGACCGTTATTTACACATGTTTTTACCCCTGCTCTTACTCCGTTTGAGGTGTTGATTCTCGTGTTTTAGGCCGATTTCACGCTAGGTTGTGCTTGTTTATGATATTTCAGGTCCTAGTACGTGAATGGAGGCTTGGGAGCGAGTTTGGGGTCGATTGGACGAGGATCGGACGCATGGCGAGGTTCTAAGGAAGCTGCACGGGCACACATAAAGACCACACGGCCGTGCAACTGACAATCCAGGCCGTGTGGGATTGTGCGAGAGCAAACACGGGCACAAGTAACTTTCACACGCCCGTGCAAGAGAGCAATGTGGCCGTGTGATTTTTGCCGAGGCCAAACACGGGCATCCCAGGAAATCCACACGGCCGTGCGACCCTGGCCGTGTGGGATGGCTGAAGATCGACCTAAGTGATACGGCGCGTTTTGACTCACACGGGCAAAGTGGTGATCCACACGGCCGTGTGGCCTGCCCGTGTGAGTCGGGAAATTCTGGTTTTTTAGGCAGATTTTCAGCCAAAAGAGGGAGATTCGAGTTTTAGAGAGAAAGAACGATTCCTAGAGAGAGAAAGCGACAAACAAGAGTCTCCAAGTGCCCTAGCTTGATCTTCATCACCATTGGAGCTTGGCTTGAGCTTGGAAGAGTGCCGATCAACGTCCAGGAGCTGAAATCCATCCTTCACAGTATTGTTTCCGCATCTGTTTCTGCTTTTGCTTCTTTCTCCATGGAGTAGTTCTCCCATTCATCTGGGTGTGGGGAACCCTAGATCTGTATGTTAGGATTGATTGTATGAACCCAAGTACTGTTTCTATGATTTGATTATATTCGATTGAGGTTTGAATGATTGAATGGCATGAATCCTGATCAAATTCCTGTTGTTTCTGCTTTAACCTAGAATGAGAATATCTGCCTAGGTTGATAGAGCATCCTTAATTGAAGGTAGCGAATTGGTGACTTTAGTCGAGGAGCCAATTCGCTATTCTGTACCGAATTCCATTCGGTAGTGGAGGTTTGGTTCGTTAGGGCCTCAATCTGTTTACTCCAGTGGAGGTTAGTCGCCCGCTAGAGACTCAGATTGAGAGGGTCTGGAGACCTTTAGTCGAGACTTCAGGCTATTTAAGAACCTTCCGCAGTATAACTTTCATAAAAACTGAACTTGGTAAATTGCAATCCGGCTTAACTGCAGTCTAGGGGGAACCATATCCGGGTGACCTCTCTTGACTTGAATAACCGTTAAACTTGCTTTGTGTTTGTGTTTGCTTGAATTTGCACTAAAAGTTCACTGCTAGATAACGAGATTTCACCGAGTAGTCATCACATCTAGGACCCGGGTTGACATTAAAACCCAAACCCGCTATACTACGCTTTAGGAAGTGGTTACACTTGGCCATTTTCTAGAGTGACAGTAGGAGTGAGTCAATGACTCATTCAAATGACTGTAGCAAACGACCTCTTAAATTCATCTACCATCAAGAATCTACTTATTTAGGAACATTTCATTTTGACAAATTTCAATGTCAAAATCATTGACATAATTTTCCTGGCAAATGTTTGTTTCATTTATTTAAGTGAAAGGAATAAGTTATTTCATAATTCCACATATACATTAAAAATGAAGTAAAGGACAATATTTGTATCTTGCAGGAGGTGGTTCACTCTATGAGAGCGAAGAAAGGACGGGTTGGGTGGATGGCTATTAAAATTGATCTCTCTAAAGCCTACGATAGAATCCGATGGAAGTTTGTGGAAGATACATTAAAGGCAACAGGAGCGCCAGCTAGCTTCATATCAGTCACGACTCACGATGCAGTGTATTTCCACTACAGGAATGCAGATTCAGTGGAATGGTGGCTTGACGGATGTGTTTACCCCATCGCGCGGTCTTCGACAGGGGTGTCCGCTCTCGCCGTATATTTTTACCCTTTGCATGGAGCGTCTAAGCCAGCTAGCTTCATATCAGTCACGATGCAGTGTATTTCCACGGCAGGAATGCAGATTCAGTGGAATGGCGGCTTGACGGATGTGTTTACCCCATCAAGATGGAGGTAACAGGGGGCTCATGGAAGCCGATCAAGTTGTCTAGTAATGGCCCGTTATTGTCGCACCTCTTTTTTGCAGATGATTTGATCCTGTTTGGCAAAGCCTCGATGAAGCAAGTTGACGTTATACTCAGGTGCTTTGAGCAGTTTGGTGCGGCGTCAGGTCAACTAATAAGCAAGCCGAAATCCCGCGTTTACTTCTCGCGTAATGTGACGGCAACAAGTAGTCAGGATCTCAGCTGTGCTCTAGGGATCCCCTCAATGAACAATCTGGGCGGATACCTGGGAGTCCCGGTTATACATGATCGAGTGTCCAAGAATACCTTTACAGCTCTCATTGATAAGATTGATGCTAGACTGGCTGGGTGGAAGGCGGCGAGTATGTCTCTGGCAGGGCGGATTACACTAGCTCAAGCTGTGCTTTCTTCTCTTCCAGCTTATACCATGCAAACGACACTGCTACCGGCCAGTGCATGGAATTATATAGACAGAAAGATTCGTGCATTTGTCTGGGGAAGTACGGAAGCAGGGAGGAAGATACACCTTATTGATTGGGAGACAATCTGTCGACCGAAAGATGAGGGAGGGTTGGGACTTCGCAGTGCAGAGAGAATGAACGAGGCCTTTATGCTGAAAATCTTATGGAGACTGATGACAGAGACAGAGAGTTTATGGGTCCGGGTGATCAGAGCTAAATACATGTCGCAAACAGCGGATGGCTATGTCCCACGAAGAATGGGTAGGATGTCGAACCTGTGGAGAGGTGTGATAAGAGTGATGCACCTAATTCTGGAGGCAACTTTGTGGACGGATCAGAGTGGAGGGCAGACATTATTCTGGCATGATCGGTGGCTGCAGGATGACCCTCCCCTGGCGGATTATGTAGGTGATTTACTAGAGGAGGCGAGTAACTTAAAAGTTGCAGAACTAAGCCTCAATGGGGATTGGAATGTAGCGTACATGAGAGCCTTTCTACCAGAGAGTGTGGTGGCACAAATTTAGCTGCATCTTGTACCCATCGGAACAGAGCATGGCATTCCTGTTTAGAGACTTACATCGAACGGGAAGTTCAGTCTTAAGACGACTTATGATCTCACCGATGAGAAAGAAAGACCGGGGGGCAAGCATCCAGTGTGGCGAACAGTCTGGAGGATCCTGGCTACGCAAAGAATTCGGGCTTTCTTCTGGCTACTAGTGCATGACAGGCTGCTCACCAACTGTGAGCGTGTTCGTCGACACTTGAGTCCGTCGAAAGCATTCCCTATTTGTGATCATGAAGAGGAAATCTCCCTTCATGTGGTGCGTGAGTGCTCTTTGGATAGAGCGGTTTGGGCGGAGCTCCTAGGTGACGAGCCTAATGAAGTGTTCTTCCAGCAAGATAGAATAAAGTGGTCTCTTCACTATCTCATGTGTAGAAGCAGGGTAGTGAACCCCACAATGTTTGCAAGCATCTGTTGGCTATTGTGGGAAAACAGAGATAAGCATGTGTTCGAGAAGGTGTTGAACTCCCCAGAAGTGATAAGGAGACAGGCGGCCAGTTAACTCCAGCGAATCGATGCAGCTTCTCCAACGTGGGTAATGGGAACTGACGCCACACCGCGGATACAATGACAAGATATCAGTTGGGAGCATCCCCCGCACGGCTGGGTTGCTCTGAACTCGGACGGATCGGTGATCAATGGCCAAGCAGCAGCGGGAGGGGTTCTAAGGGACGAGAATGGGCGGCTAGTCAGAGCATTTTCGATGAAGTTGGGCGAGGCTTCCATTAAGAGAGCTGAACTGGAGGGTTTAGTGAAGGGATTACAAGTAGCATGGAACGAGGGACTCAGATGCATCATGGTACAAACGGACTCGCAAACTGCCATCAAGCTCATTAAGGAATCCGATAACCGACATCCTCACTTCCTCTTGGTGCAAGAAGCACGTCGTTTGCTGGCACTCAATTGGCAGGTTCAGCTGTTACATATCTACAGAGAGGGCAACTTCATTGCCGACTACTTGGCCTCGGCAGGCCATAAACTCCTACAGGGATTCCATTTCCTTGAAGAGCCGGACCCAACGTTAAATTACTGGATGTATTTCGATTTTATTGGGGTGGAAACGCCCCGTATGGTTGTTAGTTGACGGTTGGGGTGCCCGTAGCACTCCGTTTTCTCACAAAAAAAATGAAGTAAATTGTTAAATCCAAATTCCATCAACCGGCCCTTGACACTCTAGCTAAATGCCATCCATCAGGATCTCTAATCCAACGTAGTACGTTTACCATAGCACGACATATATGCGTTCTAATGGATTCGAATAACTCATTTTTTAAAAAATATCTAATAACTCATGAATCTTCATGTTACATCCATATTCCCATATTAATTCACCCTATAGTGTAGTCGAAAATATACGGCCCCAAAAAAACTCTGCTAACCTTATTCCACTTATTACTCAAATAGGAACATTTAAGTACTTTCCTGCGTTGTGTAATTATTTTTAATCACAAGTTAATTTAACAAAAATAATTATTGAATTTTGTTTTTATAAATGATACTTAGAAATATATCAATAGAATATTTTTCAAATTTTCTGATTAATAAAACATCGACGATCAATCTTTTATCAAATTTGTTACTCATCCAAGACTAGTTTTCGTTGTTGTTATGTTACTCATATTCAGTTAATTTAAAAATCTTATAAAATATATATGTCTTAACATGTTAGAGTTTATAATGGGCTAATTCCACTAAAACATGCAAACTATAAAAAAATAAGTTATTTCTACGATATAATATTCATTATGACAATTCTAACACAAACTTTCATATTCGTTAGCTTTATTTTTGGTATGCCTATGGTGACATGCATGTCACCGTAACTTGTACTTTTCGATCGACCTAATCCTAACAGAGGTCGACTGAATGCACTAATGCGGGCACCCTGACGACTTATCACGGTTGAACTTTAAATGTAGTGGTCGACCTTTGAAGTTTAAATTGTCATTGTTGGTCGACCACAATAAAACATCGGTCGCCCTTTTCATCGGCGTCAGAAGCAAAATGGGCGACCGTAAATGTATATAGGTCGACCACTTGATGACGGTCATTAACAAAATGGTTGACCATTTACAGAAAGAGGTCGACCAGATAGAAGAGAAGTGTTGCGCCCATTTATCCATCACCATTTGACGTAAAATGAAGACCAAGAGTGTTGGTTTCGCCGTCGACCGAATACAGGAAAATCAACCTATGCCCTGCGTCTTTTTTGCTTATGTATGTCAACCATTTGCTATAGACGGTCAACCGCGTCGTTGAACCTCACAAAACAGAAACAACATATTAGGTCAACCTAATCCTATATTAGGTCGAACGAAAAGTCCATGTTACGGTAAAAACCAATGCATTGACAATTGGCAGGTCATATGGCATGATTTTCTTTAACCATTTAAAATGATCGATTATCCCTAACAAAACCCTCTAATTTTGTAGGACTGCAAAATAATGATCAATAGTTGAGACTTGAGATTGGTGAGACTCCAAATCGAATGACTATGGATGATGAAGGATATTTTTGGCACAAAAAAAATAAGGTCAACCTTGCTCATGTGCGGACCGGTGCATTTTAAGCTGTGTGTTTACTCTTCTCTTTCCTTATCTTGACACGGATTTCGAGGAGGCAGTTAGAGTTTTTTTTCAAACCATAACAAAAATCCGACGAATCGTAATGCAATCATTTTAGATCGGATTTGGAAAATTTTTGAACAAAAAATCATATTTTTTGTACTCTACAAAATGATATTGATAATTTTGGAGCAAAATTTTTCCAGATCCTCGTACAATTGTCATATCATTATATTACTAGTAACAATGATTGATATGATGATCTAACACTGATATGATTGATGTTATCACTATATCTTAATGAGATAATATCATGATACGACACTGATATGATTGATATTATCATAATATCATGTGTAAATACAATATATTATCCATAACTATTAAGTAGCGGGGAGTTATAGCCACAACTATCGAAATACAAATTATTAGCCATAACTATTGTTGTGGGTCAAGATTTGGCTAACAGCCCGTTACTGTTTTCAAATTTTTAACATAGAAGGCCATGTCAGCATCGTAAAAAATATTATATGATGACTGCCACGTGGGAGCCAGCTCACCACCGTAAAAACTTAGTCATCATTACTAACAGAAGTGTTAACGAAAACTTAACGATTGGCTAATAATTTGTATTTCGATAGTTGTGGCTATAATTCCCCGCTGCTTAATAGTTATGGCTAATATATTGTATTTGCCCTAATATCATAGTGATAATTCTGATATGTCAATGATATGATTGATATTATTACTATATCATAGTAATTATAATTTATACCATGATCATAGTAATAATATCATGATATGATACTAATATGAATGATAACACTATATCATAATGATAATACCATGTTACGACACTAATATGATTGATATGACACTTATTAAGCGATAATACTACAACTGACACGTGTTTTAAAAATTTAAATTTTCTTTGCTCAAAATATAGCAACATGGATATCATTGTATATATCATAATTAGTGCATTCTTTCTATGCAATTTTTTTAAATTTCGAGTTAAAATGAATGCTATAGGATTCGATTAAGAAAAATATGAGATTAGAAGAAGTAGTTGTTGACAGGACAACTATCTCTCATGAGAGAAGATAGGGTGCGAAAAACCCTTAAATAGGGGTGAACAAACACACCCGAAAATCGACCTACCCGTATTTATTGCTAAAACGAAGGCTTTGGGTTGGGTGAGGGTTTTTTTGTACAATCCGCCTCTTTTGGGTTGATTTTTTATTTTGGATTACACAACCCGTAGAACCCGAACCAACTCGTGTTCCAACTATTGGTATGAGTTCGTATCCAAAAACTATTTATGCGGTATATAACCATACTTATGAGAAAATTAAGATATTTCGCCACATTTTTCTCTCATGGTCTCCCTAATATAATGCATTCTTCGACTTACAGTATAGACATTAATTTAATATAGCTATGATTCACGTAATCCTTTTTATCGTGTACAATTTTAACAGAATAACATATTATGGATGTGTTCGTTTATTTCCTTTCCTCTTCCCCTCTTTCTTTGTTTGCAATGGGATCCTTGGACCTCGTACGAGAAGAAACGGGTCCTCTCACCTTCATTCTCGTCATTGTGTTGAACGAGACTCTGATACCACTTGATATGTTCTCAATGGAGATCTTGGACAAGAGTTGCATAGCCAACTTGATAAAAAAAACAATTGAAACTCAATCAATTGACACTCGAACCCAAGAACAACCCAAATAACCTTGTTATTTGGGTCGGATAGGGATGAAATTGAAGTGCAATCTCACACCTAAGAGAAGGGTCTATCAACTTGGGTAGATACTCACCACAATCAAGAGTGAATTACTTGATTGATACAAGACCAAACAACCTTTAGAGTCCAATAAAGATCAACAAAAACTTGCAAGCTATTGCTCGAAGAATTCTAGGGTTAAAGCTTAATCAATAATGTTATTCTTTTACAAGCTACAATGCAGCCTTTAATAGGCATAAGGAACTGTAATTCTATGCTATATAGGGAAGGAAAAACTCTACAACACTAATAAGGAAAAAGAACAAGAAACCAACTCAAGAACCCTCAAACTTGGAGAACAAGAAACCAACACTAATACGTAAAATAAACTGCCCCCATATGATCTTCAGGCTGCTCGTTTGAGGCCCTCTAAGCTCGGTCGACCTCAACCTACTCATTCACGATCTTTAACAAGTCTTGGACTTTCACACCCAACTTCTAGCTTCACTCGAATGTCTCTTAACATGAACGAACTAGGCTTCAAAGTAGGTACCTCAACCCGGTTCCCATATTTGGCCATTATTCTGCCATTTTTGCTCCCACATCGTGCATCCTTCTTTAACTTCAATGGAGGTGAACTTGGGACAGTTTTGGTGATTGCATAATTTCTTTTCTTTTTCTTCATGTTAATCCAGAGGCAGAGAAAGAGCAAAAAGAAGTTATTGGATCGAGGGATCCATAATAGGATTTGAGATATATCGATGATGGGACTATTTTAAACTGAGAATGAGAGAAAAAGATAGATATTATTGTGTATGGTATTTTAGTTTGAAGAATGACAGCAAAATCAGGTCAATAAATAGGGTTCAAATTTTCACAAGAATTAAAAAACCGCCGTATAGGCGGTTCGATCAGAAAAATCTTCAATCCTAGGATAAATTGGTAGGCGGTATTTAATGATATGAAATGATTGAACTACGATTAAACCATAGTTTCAGCATAAAATACTCTACGCTGGATTTTGTGGTACGATATTATAAACCTTGAATTTTGGGTTTGAACTTGTCGGTTTGGATTGGATTTAATTATTCAAAGAAACAAAGACAACCATGGGCTACATTTCTTTAGTTTTTTTTTTTTTGACAAAAGGTATCATATATTGATTCAACAAAGGCAGTTACATTCCGGAACAAAGCCAGGCCTGAAAATTGAAAGAACGACAAGTAGACGGATACAAAGAAAGGGCTTTCCTAGCCACCACATGGGCTACCCTATTGTTAGTCCGTCCTACGAATCTTAATCTAAACCCAGGGTGGGTCACAACAAGCTGTCTAATTTCCGCTAAAACCACCCCAACCCTGCTATCTTTGGTATCTCCTTGATTAAGCTTTTCGATAATAATCTTGGCATCACCTTCAAATCTCACATCGAAGAATCCATTTGTCAGACACCAGAAGATAGCTTCCCTTAGAACAAGAGTTTCCACCACCAGAGGATCATCAATATGCCAAAATTGGACCCCTTTAGCTAGAATGATCTCCCTATTCGGACCAAGAAGAACTATTCCGCCCGCCAAATGAGACCCATATCTTGTAGCCCCATCCCACATACACACCATTGAGGGACCCGCAGAAAGCCTCACTAAATGAGAAGTAGGACGGGGACCCGGAGTCACACTGTCATCAGGCAACCTTTCCCATTCCTCACACTGCTGATGGTATTGGCGCAACAGAGCTGGAAACCCAAATTGCTTGCCTTCAAAGACAACCCAATTCCTGGATTTCCAAATCCGCCAAAGAATAGCCACCACCGAAAGGATCACAGAAGGTTGGCGAATGAGGGAGAATAGCTGTTTGAGGAACAAGGGAAAGGTATGACGCGGCAACCCTTGTCCTAAATGTTCCAATCCCGCGTAGTCCCATAAGTCCCGAGCCACTGGACAGTCTAGAAATAGATGCTCCATTGTTTCCGCCTCTCCCCAGCAAATCGGACATCGAGGATGAACAGACACACGTTTTTCAATTAAGCCCTCAGTCGTGGGGAGGATTCGGTGGAAGATTTGCCAGAGAAACACTTTCAGCTTAATTATTTACTTTTATTATTTATTTGGTCTAGAAATAAATGCACCCTGATGATGCTTGGAAGCATGTATTTTTCTCCATGAACCTATCCAAAACGCAAATAGCATATGTAGTTTTCCTTGTGTGGCGGCTTTGGAAGGGGAGATGCTGGACAATTCATGAGCATATTCAATACCTCCCAGCAGCCTTGCTTAGACAGTTTCAGCGACAGGTGGAGGAATGGCGCGCTCTGGATGGAGGGTCTACACATCAGCAGGCTGTTAATCCTGGCCCCCAAGCAAACACAGGAGTTCATTCAAGCTCTCGCAGGGGCCTTCCCAGGTCCATACCACACCCAGCTGAGATTAATGTTTGGTTCGACGGTGCCGCCAAACGTGGCCGAGGAGGGAGCATTGGATTTGTTGGTTACCAATTAACAGGTAACTTACTCTTCGCTTTTGGAAAGTATTATGACGGCATTCATGATCCGTTCATCATGGAATGTTTAGCACTAAGAGATGCAATCCAATGGTGTCTAACGCATTCTTTCCTCTTTGTTACTTTTCATGGGGATTCACAACTGCTTATCCGACGAATGGTGGGTGGCGAATTGAATCATGATCGCGGAGGAGCTATTCTGGAGGACGTTCGGTGCTTGGCCTCACACTGTAGCAGAGTTTCTTACTTGTTTGTGTCCCGTCAACTCAATAGGGCTGCCCATCTTGTGGCACAAAAGGCCCTCTCATCGGGAGTTCGACTATTGGTCGACTCCCGCACTCTTTTGTCCTCTTCTGCTTGATTGATTTTAATAAAAACTGAACTTGAAAAAAAAAAGAGATAATTTATTGATTGCTAATTGAAATGCGAAATCAACAAGTCAGTGGCTAATGCGCCACATGGCCTCCCACCATCCGCAACATTGTGCTGGTACTTTCTAGTTTATATTTTTGTAACTCTTTTGGGTCGTTTGTACGAGTCATTTACAAAATGAGGCATTTGCTCAAATATAGATATTTGAAAAATGTTGACGTTTGTGAATGTACACATTTACAAATTCATTGTTTATTTAACATTTTTTAGATGAATCATTCATGAATGAGTCATTTGTATAATGTTTCCATTTTGCCCTTACATTTTATATTTCGTTATCTTGTTTCATATCCTCATAAAACTAAGTAACATAATCATTTTGCAACCAACAAAACATATGATTACGAGTCATGTATAATACTTTCTAATATTAAATAATATTTTCATGTTAAATTTCTTTATAAAAGCTAACCACTCCAGTCTCACATTCGTACTAATTAGGACTTATTCTTGAAGGTGGAAACTCCAATGACACGAAGATGTAGAGTCACGAGAAAATGATGAGACGATAAGATGGATGACCCCATCACCGCTTGTAAAATTTGGCAGAAAGAAAAAAATCGGTAATAGACGAAAGAATAGTATGGAAAATAAGTAATATAAAGGCAATGGTAAAAATGAGTTTATGAAAAAGTGACAACGACATAATTGGAAAGTTTTTCTAAAATAATGAGTCATTGCCAATAGAGTCATTTGAGACTTTTGTATGAGCCAAATGACTCATGCAATTCTTTGTTAGCAAACGAGTCATTTGGTACCATTCAAATGACTCTAGCAAACGACCTCTTAGATTCGTCTACCATCGAGAATCTTATTTAGGAACATTTCATTTCGACAAATTTCAATATCAAAATCATTCACATAATTTTCCTGGCAAATGTATGTTTCATTTATTTAAGTGAGAGGAATAAGTTGTTTCATAATTCCACATCTACATTAAAAATCAAGTAAATTGTTAAATCCAAATTCCATCAACCGGCCCTTGACACTCTAGCTAAATGTCATCCATCAGGATCTCTAATCCAACGATAGTATGTTTACCAGAGCACGACATATATGCGCTCTACTGGGTTCGAATAACTCATTCTTTAAAAAAAATCTAATAACTCACGAATCTGCGTGTTGCATCCATATTCCCGTATGAATTCACCCTATAGTGTAGTAGAAAATATACGGCCCCAAAAATACTCTGCTAACATTATTCTTATCTTTTTTTTATTACTCAGGAACCTCAGCCCCAATCAAATTCGACGCCAACGGAGCTTTGCCCCAGCAGCCTTGTACCTCCGGGAACACCAACGGGTATCGCTTAGATTCGAACTTGGGATTTGCAACCCCCAAATTTTCACTGTCGCGGCAACTTTACCGTTAGGCTATCTTACTTTTTGTAAGATTTAGTACTTTCCGACCTTTTGTAATTATTTTTTTAATCACAAGTTAATTCAACAAAAATACTTATTGAATTTTGTTTTTATAAATGATACTTAGAAATATATCACTAGAATATTGTCATCAAGGTTCAGAACCCCTGGGGCTAAGGGGAAAAAAGTGAAGCTCACATAATGACAGATTACAAAACTCCTAATCTACTCTGCAAACCACCTTTTCATCAATATCCTCTTCTTTTCCCCGAGCCATCGACATTCTGCTTTCTCTATCTCTCTCTCTTTCTTTCACCAGGGCCTTTGCAGACCACCAATGTTGAACCGGGTATGAATATAAGCATTCTCTGAAATGAAAGGCACGTGAGCATAGCCCCCTGCAAGGGCACACCTCACACACTGCACCAGAATCAGTATGTAAGCAAATCCCACTCCAGCCCAATAATACATTCCCAACCTGCCCTCCTGGTGAATCAAAGGGAAAAAATTGCTAGTGGCCCATACAATCTGCAACGAAGTCTCCAACAGCAATCCCATCATGAGATGGAACCTGAAGAAGTGAGGCCATTCTTTGTTCTTCACAATCCCACCGTAGGCAAAGAAGCAGTAGAGCAATGTAAACCACATGGGTAGCCTTGTGATTGCTCCAGGAACGAAGAAGATCAAGTTTTCGAAGCAACCATAGTGTTCTAGTAAGGGCTGGATGTAGTATCCTGCAGCTGATATCTGCAGGGCAATCAGATAAGGGATACATGCTAATGTCCTCCACCACCATTCTGGCTTCTCGGCTAAGGCTGGAGAGTTGAAGCACTTGTATGCTTTTGCTGGTTTTATGGATGCTCTTCTGGGTAGCTTTGGAAGATTGTATGAGGACTCACCATCTTCATCTTTGAAAAGCGAGGTTGATGTGGAGGATATGTGCATAAAAGGGCTTTCTGCCAATTGAAAGTTCAATGTCAGTGTAGTCAGAATCCCAAGTTGAGTCCTAAAAGCTTATTCTTTCACAGGTTCTCTCTATCAAGTATTGTGTGGCTTCATGTAAAACTTACTTGTCACACTTGTGGGATCAATCAAGGCAGCAAAATCAGGGTAAAATCTACATATGCATACGCTTCTACCTCGATTTGATGATTGGATATTCTAACAAGTCATCTCTAATATATATAGAATAGAAATAAGATCATGATTTTGTTATTGAACATTTTATAATGGACAAGTTTATAGGGAAATATTGGTAATTATCGCTATTTCCATATGAGTCTGACTTATACTCTTCCATTGGATTCCGGGCAGAATCCATCGTTTGCCACCATTGTCCATTCTGATGTGAGTTTCAGTTGTAAACTTATAATATGTAATGTAATCTTCATCTAAAAGTGCAGCAAACACCAGAGCAAGGCCGTCCAGTGATCTAATCTCCCTAAACTTCTAAGCTGATATTCCCGATTCCCTACAAAACTGAACCTTTATTACACATGTAGATATGGAGAATCCAGGGACTTTTGTTCCTTTCAGTGTCAAAATATAGACATAACCAAGTTTGTTTCAGCCCAGAATTATGCATCTAAGACCCAAGGGCACAGCCATTATCACCCACTACTCCATCAATCTTAGTTTGTTAGAAGAAGAAAAAAAAAGAGAACTGACCTTTTGAAGTACTGATATGCTGGATCTGATTCGGTCCATTTGAACGTTGGCTGAGGGACAAACTAGGCAATGCAGCCGAGTTAGGCTGAAACGCAATGCTGGATCTATCCGGCAAGAAGTTACGAGTTCGACATCCTGTGATCTTGCTGAAACCTTTTCCAACAGCTTCCTTGTACCTGGTTGGAACGAACAGTTAAAATGTACATCAGTACCTAGCAGTTAAGTTGTTGGAGCTTCTACTTTCCTCTCAGGACATGCATATGTAGCTCTATGAGACTCAAATGAATACCAATTATAATCAAAAGAAACTGACCATATATTAGCATCTTGCAAAGTCTAAGGGGAAAAAAAAAACACTCCTCAACTCAAATGAATAAGCAGAGCATCTTTTCTCTCAGAATAAGGAAAGGGATGTAGATACCCATATAGCAGAAGAACAGGTTTTGTACGAGAGTCGAATTTTCACAACCATGGATATTTCATTCAGATAGCAAGTCCGCAACTTTCTACTTCCCCATAAACAGAATCGCACGACTTAGGGTTATATACCAGCAAGCCAGCAACCAGACTTTCTACAACACTAAACCCTTTATTTGCAGACCCTCTCTTCAGTTGCGTTCTATGTGGTAAAAAGAAGAAACTGCACCTGTTGTTATAAACAATATTCGACGGCGCTGAAACTTTGAAACCCTAAACATGTATTCATTCACCTTGAGAAGAACAGGGGACAACCCGAAATGAAGTACTGACTACTGAAATTGCTGATTATCCTCCACAAGGCCGAGAGCAGTACGAGAACAGAGGAACCGTAAAGGAAAAGTAAACATCTATTGGTTTGAGCAAAACCCTAAAAATGGTAACATCCTCCATCAAAAGCAGCACAATCGTTCCTCAAAACCTAATCGACCTAACCCTGCTCAACCCCAAAACCAAGAAAGCACAAAAAGATTTCAACCCTTAAATTAACAAAAATGAAAAGCGATGAAATCCAAATGACCGCAACCCTATATCCCATGTCTATTTCCGAGTTACTTTTTTGCACTCTATTCGGAACTTCGAGGCCGTTCTTAACCTTGTAGCATGGAAATTCGTCGAAAAAGAAGAGAAGAGAAATAGAAAGTAAAGCGCATACCGATAGCTGACGACGGCAGCGGGCGCGAGGTGCTGAGAGGACGATTTCAGCACGTAGCGCGACGCCTGGCCAGAAGCGGAGGCAGCGGCAGAGGAACACGCCACTAAATCAGCAACGGTGGCGGACATCGTCGTCTCTTCTTCTCTCTGCCCTCGTCCAGTTGTTTCTGCGGCGAAGAGGAGAAAGGCGAAAGAAACCAGCTGAGGGTTTTCTTTAGACGCAAGAAAGGAAACGGAGAGGCAGCTGCCCGACGCCGTTTACAGGATTAAGGCGGTGGATGCGGCACCGCATTGGGGATTACACCTTTAATTTGTCATTTTATGATCCAACAGAAGTCGGAAATCAGAGCCGCCTAATTGTATGTGGAACATTCGAGGTCATAAACATGTTTAAATCCTTACATGGGAAAGTATATAGATTAAAGCTGGTAGAAGTGGTACGAGAGAGCATCAACATTTAAGCGGTCGGTAGGGGTGGAAGGAAATCCCCTACCCTGTTCACAGAAAATTTATGCTGTCGGTTGATTAATTTGGCGAGTAGGAATTGTCCAATTATGTGTTGTATACTTGTATTACTTTAAAATATAAGGGCACAAGGTTAGAATTTAAATTCTTTCTGACAGATATGTTCATACACGTTTCTACTTTGATGCATAAACTCAAAGTCGGAAGAAGAATTGTTAAAGTTTAATCTTTTGTTTCGTTGGTTGTTGGTACTTAAGGTTCGAATTGAAGGAGGAATAGATGTTTTCATTCACATATTAAAGTTTAAATTCACTGAAAAGAAGGGGCCGGCGGAATATGCGGGTTTCAAGAGCTTTTGGTGAGCCCCTTGTCCCTCAGGCATAAGATATGGATGTTTCTCCACCGAAACCCCACCCTACGTGCACCGTCCCGTTTCAGTCGGACGAGGACACCCCCATGGCTGAGGTACGGGAACTGTCTTGAAGGCGCCGTCTCATCCTTGAGGATGACCCGGATGATGATGAGTTTGACCTTGCCCAACCGATTGTGCCGAAACCTTTGCCGCGAGCCATGCCGGGTCCTGAACCGGTGGACAAGAAAGTGACCAAGAGCGCTCGGCGCCCCTCTAGCACATCGAAGAAAAAAGGAGGGACCGGTCCTAGGGCTGATAAAGGGGCCGCAGTGCTTGAGCCGATTCAGAAGCCTCGGCTCCGCCGCAATAGAAAACTGCGGCATTCACCTACTCTTCTGGGAGAGTGCTCCCAGTCGACATGCACGCGCGGAGAAAAGGAAATGGTGGCTAGGAGTGATAACACGAGGGATCATGCTGCTGCTGTTGAGTTGAATCGGAGTCCTGCCACCAGTCATGAGGCGGTGGATGACTCCCATGTGGAGGCTGGATTGGATGACTCACAGTCGGAGGACGAGCCCCACCGATTTGAAATCAAAAAATGACCCCCGACCCCCAAGGCTAAAACGTTGCGTCCAACCTCAAATAGTCGTGTGAATCAAGTGGTGGCGGCTTTCGAAGCAGGTCTAACCATTGATCAGCATGAGGAGGGTACCCTCGTGAAGACAGTAGTGGGGAGTATAGCTGACAACACTGGGCGAGGCCAACTAGAAGGGGTGTATGAGGCGGCCCCTCAATTCGATGAATATGGGTCTAACATGCAGCATCCGAACTTGGGGGTACGAAAACGACATTTGGAAGCACTTGAGGGTGAGGTGGGTGATCCCTCTGTACCAAAAAAACAGTTTGTGGAAGTTGATGAAACTCAAGGAATGGTGGAGGTAGCCAGCCATGAATGACCCCACCCCGATAAATGAGGCTATTAGCTTGGAATGTGAGAGGAATTGGACCATCCCTCACATTTCAAACTGTTGTAGGATTAGTTCGTTCGAATAAACCGGATCTCGTGTTTTTTTCGGAAACACGATCGAGCCGGCGTGTTGTCTCTCGCCGTATGCGGGGTTTATGTTTTGATCTTTCCAATTGTTTCTTTGTGGATGCGATTGACACTTCCGGAGGTTTAGTTGTTGCTTGGTCCCCCGAAGTTGATGCTTCGGTGTCTTATCATTCCAACTTTTGTATTTGTGTTCAAGTTAATGAAGGGGATTTTTCTTATGTTGTGGTGTGTGTTTACATTAGTTGTAATACTGCCACAAGGGCTTCCCAATTGGCCCATCTTAGTGGCGTTCGTGCGGCCATCCAGACCCCTTACGTTGTCATTGGTGATCTAAACACAATTCTTCACGAAAGTGAGAAAGAGGGAGGGAATCCCTGGAATGCCGCTCATTCTGCAAGCCTACGTGACTTTATTCATAACCTGGGTCTTCATGACCCTGGTTATCAGGGCGATCAATTTACTTGGACGAATAAGAGGATGGGTGCAGCTTGCATTCGCGAACGACTTGTAGAGCGATGTGTTCGCAAGGCTGGATTGATCACTACCCTGATACCTTGGTTAAACATTTTACAGATCAAGGGTCCGATCATCAGGCGCTCCTCCTCTATTATAAGCCCTACGCACGTAATAGCCGCCCTCTCTTCCAATTTGATGCCCGCTGGGCGGATAATCCTGAAGTTAGGGCTATGGTACAATACGTCTGGCAGGAAGATATCCAAGGGACGCCTATGTTTCGTCTCTGGGATCGCCTTAAGAAACTCTGTCATTTGTTGTATGATTGGAGTAGGGCGGGCACCACTAATTCCCTCCGCAATATAAAAACTCTCCAGAATGAAATTGAAACTATCAAGTGTTCCCATCCAATTTACTGGGATACAATCCGGATTCTGGAAATTGAGTTGAATCGGCAATGGGAAGCGGAGGAACTTTATTGGCAGCAAAAGTCTAGGGTCCACTGGTTAAAGAAAGGAGACAAGAATACCTCTTATTTTCATACAGTGACTCAGACGCGCCGAAAGAAGAACTTTGTGGCCGGCCTTCGTAATGACGAGGGCGATTGGATCACGGATGAGATTGGGAAAGCTGGTATTGCGACCAATTTCTATCAGAATCTCTTCACCTCGGAGAATCATATCTTTAATATGACTGAGCGTGTGGCAGGCTTGCCTATTGATCAGACTGTTACTCCAGCAATGAATGCCATCTTAACGGCGGCAGTTCTCCCTGATGAAGTACGCAAAACGGTTTTTGCCATGGGATCGAAGCAGGCTCCTGGGTCAGACGGATTCACGGGGAAATTCTTCAAATCTTTCTAGGATATTGTGGGAGCCTCGGTGGTTGAGGCAGTTTGTTCTTTCTTTGAGACTAGCAGGATGCTCCGTAGTTTCAACCATACATGGCTTACTCTGATTCCCAAAGTCGATTCTGTGGAAAATATGCGGCCAATCAGCCTGTGTCAGTTTGTGTATAAGATTATTACCAAGATCATGGCTGAGAGACTTGCTGGTTTTTTTACCTTAGATCGTCTCAGAGGGTCAAAATGCTTTTATACGAGACCGACAAATCGTCGAGAATATCCTCCTTGGGCATGAGTTAATGCACTATTTGAAAATTAAGACATGCGGAAAGAAAGGGTACATGGCTCTAAAGGTTGACATGGAAAAGGCCTATGATAGAGTTGACTGGCCCTTTCTTCTCCCTGTCTTGGAAAAAATGGGTTTTAACTCCACCTGGCGAGGATGGATACAAGAATGCCTCCGGTCCTCGTCTTTCTCCATTTTAATGAATGGCACCCCTTCGGGTTACTTCACCCCCCTCCAGATGCCTCCGCCAGGGGGATCCTTTGTCACCTCTCTTGTTTGTGCTCTGTACGGAGGGGTTTGCTACGCTTCTTCGAAAGGCTATTTCTGAAGATAAGCTTGGAGGAATCAAGGTTGCTCCCCGGGCCCCGTGGATCTCGCATCTGTTCTTTGCCGATGATTCGTACTTGTTCCTGCGTGGGTCTCTCCAGGAGTGCGAGAACTTAATCAATGTCTTGAATGAGTATGAGGAGCTCAGTGGCCAGAGAGTGAACTTGGAGAAGTCGGCAGTGTGCTTTAGTAGAAACATTGTTTTGCCGGACCAAGAATTCTTGGTTGCAGTTCTGGGAGTTGGGGCGGTTGGGGTTCATGATAAGTACCTGGGTTTGCCTACACTGATTGCTCGGTCCAAGATGGATACCTTTCGGTACTTGGAGGAAAAACTGCTTGATCGCCTCCAAGGATGGAAACGGAGAACGCTATCCTGGGCGGCTAAGGAAACCCTAATCAAGTCCATTGACTTGGCACTACCGTTACATGTGATGTCCTGCTTCAGGCTGACTATATCACTGTGCCGCTTACTGGATAAACATGTGGCACGGTTCTGGTGGGGCGCTGAGGAGGACCAGTCGAGAATTCGGTGGATGTCATGGCGGAATATGTGTCGGAGTAAACATGATGGAGGAATGAGGTTTTGCCGTTTTGAACATTTTAACCACGCTCTTTTAGCTAAAATTGGTTGGCGCCTCCTCCAGGAACTCCAGTCCCTCTTAGCTCAAGTCTATAAAGGGAAGTATTTCCCGAATGGGCCCTTCCTCTCGGCCACGTGCGATCTCGACCCTTGTGGGGGTGGCAGAGTATTCTGTATGGCCGTCAGTTATTAGAGGCATGGCTACGTTGGCAAATTGGAAATGGGCAGTCTGCTTCCCTGCTCCACTCCAACTGGATTCCTCAATTACAACTTGATCCTCCTAGGTATAACCCCCAAGTCTTGCCGGTTGAGGGGGGTCCGGTGGTTGCTGAGGTGATCAGTCCGGAAGGGGGGCGGTGGTGTGACCGGAAATTGAGTCAGTGGTTCGACCCTCCTACATGTGAGGCTATTAAAGCCATCCCCCTTCCGCGCCTGCCGGTGGAGGATAAGCTGATTTGGCATAACACACAAGAGGGCATATTCACGGTTAAGTCGGCCTATCATTTAGCTGGCGCCCTCGATAGAAGAAAGGGCCGTTGGAGGTTAGAGGTGAGCTGGATGGACAAGGCTAGTTGGATCAGGTTGTGGGAGGCTAACCTGCCCCCTAAATTGAAGGTGTTTGTTTGGCAAATTCTGAATCGCATGCTTCCTACGACGGAAGCCCTCATTGCCAAAGGTGTTCCGATTTTACCTAGGTGTCCGGTTTGCTGGGCTGAGTCAGAAACCTTGGAACATTTGTTCCTCTATTGTCCGGTGGCTCGGGCACTCTGGGACTATTCAGGGCTGGCTTCCCTGGG